GCTGGATGCGGGGCACCGGTTCGGGGAGGAGCCGTGGGGACTCTCTGTCTCCACGACCGGGCCCCGACTGTGCTGCCCCAGGGGCCTGGAGTCGCCCCCCAACCCTCCATCCCCACGAGGCCAGAAAGTATAAGGGTTCGAGGCTCGGCCCCAGAGTGACTTGAACGAGTCGCGGTCCCCGCAAGTCCATCCTGGGGCGAGGGGACCGCGCTGTTCAGTTTCCTCGGGGTTCATTCATTAGTTCCACACATAGATGGCACGTTTCTCCTACGTGCCGGGCACAGATCTGGGCACTTGGGGATGCAAACCGAACAAGCCAGACAGACAAGACTCCTGCCCGCATGGAGTGTACAGTCCAGCGGCAGGAGACGGCCGGTGACGGGTAAAGGCGCAAGATAATTGAACATACGACAGGAACGGGGGGGAGTGGAGATTTGAGATAGGACCGCCTGGCACCTCAAGGAGGGTCACGTTGAGTGGAGACCAGAAGGGCGATGACAGGGAAACGGAGGCAGCCGCAGCCCTGGGAATGCGCCCCGGCCTTACAGTAATGGGTGCTGGCCCCGAGCTCCCCTCCTAAAGAAGGTGCTTTCCTAACTCTCGGCCTTGCTGTCCTGCTTGGCACTGGGGTTGCAACGGTGGTGGCACAGACGTTGTCACGATCATCGTCCTTATTCTTTCGGAACTTCAGGTTCCTTCTGTGCCTCCTTAGTTCCTGCCCACACGTTAGCTCAGTGGTTCTCAACCTTAAATGCACATGAGAATCACCTGGGGATCTTTTTAAAATCCTGATTTCTGGGCCTCATCCTCCAGAAATTCTGTTTCTTTGTTACTAATGTTGTGGCCTCGCCCCATAACAAAAAAACAGAATTTCCGGAGGATGAGGCCCAGAAATCAGGATTTTTAAAAGATTCCCAGGTGATTCTAATGTGCAGCCAAGGTTGAGAACCACCTTGTTAGAGGAAAACGCACGTCTTCTTTGGCAGCCTTCCTCTGCCCAGCCAGTTCTCTGTCCTAGCTGCAGGGGCCTCCCCTACGTAGCGTACATCATGGTGTTGAGACTTACCTGTTTGTATGGCTGTTTGACTCATGGCTGTCTTTCCCTTCAAGACTAAGTTCCATGCAGGGCGGGACAGGCCTGTTATGTGTGCACCTGAGCCTCCTGCGGGCTTCAGTGCCTGGATCAGAGGTGCTCGGGAGTCCGTGGGTGGAGGAGTGAGAGGATTAAGATACACTTTGCTCTGCAGTGGTTCCTAGGAGGCCTCTCCTGCCACCAGGTTATTGCCTTCTCTTTCTGATCATGCCTCTCCTCTACTTAAATGGCTCCTCGCTGCCTGCAGATGAAAAGCCAGAATCTTTAGCATGGCATCCAAGGCTTTAAACAACAAACAGACTGGCCCCATCTTTCCTCTCCAGCATCTTCCCTCCACGTCTGTCATCCCCTCCCTGACCTGGCGTTTCCAACCATGTCTTCCCCTTCCTTCAAGCCACAGGCTCTGAGGCTTGGCTCACGCTCGCTCTTCGCTTGGAATCCCCTTCCTTCCCATCTTGTCAGGCTACCCTTCAACCATCCGGTGACAGGTCACTTCCCCGTGGCCTTCTCCCTTCCTCTGCTGTGCTTGTTCTGGGGATTTCCTGTTACAGCTCTGGCCACACCAAATCATAGTCACTGACCCTCCCAGGACCCTGCACGTTTGAAGTCAGTGCTGACTGAGTGAAGAAGCCCACGGCGCTCTGCCTATGACGGGACTTAGAGTAACAACCAGTGAACTTATCGGGTGCTTATTACACACCAAGTCCTGTGTCGAACACTTAGCGCCATTACCCTCGATTTCCGCGTTGGTAAAGTGAAGATGCTGATAGAACCAGCCTTAGAGTTGGTGTGAGCGTGAATACGTGCAGAGTGAGTTAACACGTGTGGACTGAGTTCACGCCGAGCAAGAGTTGCCAGCAGGTGACTCGCACGTTGCTCCTGCGGCTGTTGTCATTACTTTGGGGCGTGAGCTTCCTCAGGGAAGAGACCCTGCCTTATTGGGGTGTCTTCCGAGCACCAGGCCCTGGCCTGATGTCAGATATGGACCCCCATGTATACGTATATAGTCCATGTGACGCATGGATGATCGTGCCCCTCGGCTTCTCTGCGAGGGCTCGGAGGTGATGGTCTCCTCATCCCGGCCTCAGTATGTCTTCATGTTGTCACTGAGACGGTGCTGACGGTTTATGGTGTGTCTGTTAAAGGGCCTGATTCACTTCATTCCATGATACAGGCAATGTGCACAGCCCCCCAGTGGGTCAGGCCACTGGTATTGTGCAAAGAGCATTGGATGGGAAGATAGAAGACGTGCGATCTGCCGTTCATTGACTCTGAGGCCGATCTGGGCCTCTTGAAAGGAGCTCGTACTGGCATGTTTCTGTGAATTCTGTCATCCTCCTTGATCCTCCTGTCCATCCATGTCCTTCCCCCCTGAAGCCTAGACAGGTTATAAAATCTAAACACACCCACAAGTGAGGAAAGGCCCCTGGCTTCGCCCTGAAAAGACTTCAAATCTGGTTGGAGTTATAAGTATCCTGTTCAGTTCATTGTTCATCAAACATTTGGATGAGGCCACCTCTCCACCAGCCTGTGCTGGTCCTGGGAAAGTTAGGAGGAGGAGGAGAGCCGGGCACTGGCTTCACAGAGCTCACAGGCCAAGGAGGGCTGGGAGCTGGAGCCATAATAGATCATCTAGGCACGTGGGACCGGTCCTCAGAGGGTGGGAGTGTGTAGTCACTGTAGCCTGGGTAAGTACAGGAGCCAGGCCTGTGAGGCCCATGTCAGGAATCCCTTGAGGCCAGCGGTTGCAGCCCCCGGGACCAGCCCAGAGCAGGCACTTGCACCAGGAGCCTATGTGTCTGCTCTCTCTTCCCATCCATCTTCCTTTCAGGGGGGTCACGCAGCACAATGCCAGCTCTGCCCCTGGACCAACTCCAGATCACCCACAAGGACCTGAAGACAGGAAAGCTGAGGACATCACCAGCGCTGGTGAGCGGTGCCTTGAGGCCTTTCGGACTGATGTTATCATTCTTGTGATTTCAAAAGTGCGAAGTAAATTCCTTCTTTATCTGTTCCAAGAGTGACCTCAGGGCCACAGTCAGTAATCCAGTAGCTGGGACACTACCAGGTCCTTCCAGGCTCAGCGTAGAGGTTTCCGTTCCAAGCCGCAGCCTGAATTTGAGTCGTATTTTCCCTGTCACCTCCCCACACCTTCCCCCAAAGCATTGCATTTTGAATCGGAGTCGGAGGGCAGTTCTGGCTAGCCTGAGCTGGCCTGGAAATGGATCCATCCCGAAGCCGGGTTTGGGCATTTGGCCTGTGGGAGGGGTTCAGGTTTCAGGTAGGCCTTTTTCAGAGCTATCTCAGCTGCTATCCACACTTCGGGGGGAACACTGATTTCAGAGGTCCGGCCGTCTTTGATCTCAATGTCAATGGGCTGAGACATGCCACATACAGACTCGGCAGGGCCTGGGAGACTGAAAACGAAGGAGGCTGTGAGGATGCCAGTTACCGGCTGCAGAGGGAGATCAGAGCCACAGGGAGGTGCCAGGCTGCTGAAGGAGCCAGACCCGGGGCCTGGAGTGCCCCTGCCCACTTGCTGTTTTCCCAAGAAGATGAGCTTCCTCGCACAAGGTGGGAGGAAGTACTTTGCCGGGGCTGGAGTCAAGGCATGGGAAACCAGAGCTTGGTGTTCTATTTCCTGCTTTCTGAATGGCTTCCTGTTACTTCCTAACTACCGTCCAGGCCGCGCATGCCCGCCACTGCTCCCAAGAGTATTATTAATAGTACTTAGCAGTCACGGAGCACTTGCGCTGGGCCAAACCTTCCTAAACACTCACCTGGATTATCTCTTGTAAGCTGCGCCGTAGCCCTGTGAGTAGGTATTTTGGCTGTCCGCATCTCACAGATGAGGAAACAGAGAGTTCAGGGTCACAGAAATAGGAAATTAGGGGAGCCAGGAGGGGAATCCAGCTAGGCTGACCCTAGAGGTCAGACCCATCATCTTTCTGCTATAAAACCTCCTGTTTCTTTTTTGGAACCTTTTTATGTAAGGAGGGTATTGATCAGAAAATCGAAAACTCTTCTGCCCAATAGGGTAGCCATTTGCCAAACATAACAATTGAGCACTTGAAATGTGGATTGTTCAACTGAAGAACTGGACATGTATTTTAACTTTAGTTAAAGTGAAGTAGCCCCATGGGGGAAGTGGTGGCCTGCACGGGTGGAGAGCAGCTCCATTACTGCAGAAAGTTCTGTGGACAGGACTGGAGGAGACGGGTTCCTTGAGTGGTTGGGTCTGATTTTCCACCTCAGTCCTTCCCCACACAGGGAACACCAGGGTTGCTGGGCTGTGGGCTCCGGGAGGGCAGGGACCTGGTGCCTTCTCTTCATTCTGGCTCCCCGGGGCCAGGAAAATTCAGTAAATGAGTCAAGGACCCAGCAGCCATTGTGACAGGCACTGGAGCTGCAAAGAGAAAAGACACGGTTGCTGCCCTGGAGTTGCCCATGGTCTGAGAGAAAAGCAGACCAGTAGCTTCTCTGCCGGGTGATCAGGGTGGTGGTCAAGGAAGTCCAGGCTGCTGATCCAGGCCAAAGCGGGGTGTGTGGGCAGGGGGGCCTCGGGAGTAGTGGGAGGACATGCGCAGCCAGGGAAGGCTCCTTAAGGGGGGAGGTCCTGACCTGGGTATTGAAGGATGAATAAGGTTAGCCAGGCAGAGCAGTCGGCAAAGGTGGGTCTGGCAGGAGGACCCGTGGGTGCTGTTTTGAGAGAGCCTGATTCCTCCACCAACCACTGGTCACCTGCGTTGGAAACAGTTTCCCAGGGGCTTTGAGTCAAATGTCACGCATACTTGGCTGTGTGACTTTGGGCAAGTTACGTAACCTCTCCATGCCCCGGGATCTAAAAGGGTAATAATAGAACCAGCTTTGTGCGGTGGCTATGAGGATTACACGAGACGTCTGAATAAACACTGTACTAGAACATAGTAAACACGCAGTAGTGATGGTGGTAACAGTGACCGTGACAGGAGCCTTGAATGGGAGTAGGGTGGGGAGAGGGATGAGCTGAGGGAGACAGTTGCCTGAACGAGGAGTAGTCTTGCTGGCCATGCCAAAGAGGATTACCCTGCTGGCCGCGGAAGCTCCTAGAAGATTGTCGTGAGGTTTGTACCCATCCTGTATCTGTGTTTTTAGTCCTAATGTGGGACAAGGAGATCTCTACCCAAGGGACAGCCACCGTGCTGCCTTTGCAGGGTGATGGGTCAGGCTAATGTTTATTGAGTACCTACTGTGTGCACAGTGCACACTTGGTGCTGTTGAATACCCCAAAGCAAGTCTTTGGAGGAAGATAAGACTCGTTTAAGTGGAGCTGTTGGAGAACGGTGCAGATGGTTACTTATCAAGAAGTGTGGTGGGCAGAGAATGTTCAGAAAGCTCCTTTGAGCAGGCGGGACCTAAGCCAGCTCTGGGGGCTGAAGATACAGCTGGGCCTGCCGCTCCCTGCCCTGAAAATTCCCAGGTGCCCATTACCTACGAAATAAAGCCCCTACTCTGAGCTTGGCACTCAAGGTTCTTTAAAGGCCTTAGGATCTGGTCCTTCCTCACCTCAAAAGGACAAGCAGTGAGACCAGGATGGCACATGGGTACCACAGGTCACTTAGTAGGTCTGCAGTGTAAGCTTTGGTTCACACGCTGCCTCGGTTGCCTCCTTAGCCATGTGACTTTGGCAACGTTCCTGAAGCTTACCAAGTCTTTGTTTCCTCCCCTGTAAAAAAATGCTATCTCCCTTTTCTTTTTTTCTTTTTTAATATATTTTATTGATTTTTTACAGAGAGGAAGGGAGAGAGAGATAGAGAGTTAGAAACATCGATGAGAGAGAAACATTGATCAGCTGCCTCCTGCACACCTCCCACTGCGGATGTGCCCGCAACCAAGGTACATGCCCTTGACCGGAATCGAACCTGGGACCTTTCAGTCCGCAGGCCGACGCTCTATCCACTGAGCCAAACCGGTTTCGGCCTATCTCCCTTTTCAATAGTTGTTGTAGGTAAGAAAGAAAGGCTGGGGAACATGCCTGCTCAGCAGCAGGCACAGGATAGGCCCTCGGCACCTGGTGGCTTTTATTGTCATCGTTCCAGTGTTCTCTCCCTCCACATCCATCTCCTACCTCCCAGGGCAATCTGTGCCCTCTTTTTTTTATGGCGCATTTATATGCCTCCATAAAAATACTGCTTCTTCATTCTAAAAATCTTTCTCATTCTCCAAGGCCCAACTCAGACGCTGCCTGCTCTGGGAATCGAGCTGGCCCTTGTCCTCCATTTGTCCATCCCCTTTGCACTCCCACAGCCCCTCTGGCAGGTCTGAGCTGTCACTTGCTCTGTTTTATGCTCTCTTGATGGCTTAGATGTGCATCTTCCCCGCTGCAGCGTGGTCTCTGAGCACGCAGATGCTTTTCTTCATGTGCCACACCACAGCAGGGTTCCAGTCAATGCTTGTAGGATGGTAAGGAGAGTAGGATCTTGGGGTGGTGGTTTGGGGGTGGGGGGTGTCTGTTTCCGGAGTCGAGGAAGGGTGAGTAACCTGGCCTGAGCAATGAATGACCTAAGAGGTGAGGTGTCAAACAGATAAGAGTTTCGGGGAAGCCAGGAAACCCAGGAGATGAATTTAGACCTTAGAGGGTAGTTTTGAACTGGGTTCAGTCAGCAGGATTCCTTTTTCAAAGATTTGCACCTGGAACCCCACTGTATAAATTTTCATTTAAATGGGAAGGGTCCGAAAGACCCACCCAGAGATCCCCCCACCCCCCAGGAATCCTTGTGGAACCCAAAGACTCCACAGTTTGAAAACTTGCCTTAGGCAGTAGGGAGGCATAGGTGGTGGTCAAGGAGACTAGCAATCAGTCAGATTTTCCTGTCCCCCTCCCCCCTGGACTGGCAGACCTGGAAGTGGGTGGATTGTGTTTGGTAACAGCTGAGATGTGGCCTGGTCTTCCTCCTGTTACCACTTCCCCTGGAGGAAGCAGCCCTTTGCAGTCAGAGGAGCAAACTGGGCTCTTCATGGTGAACAGTCAGGTCTGTTCACGGCGGGGTAGGGCTTGGGCGGGAGAACTTGTGAATCTACGCCAAGACCTGCAACTACTCGACTAGCATCTTTTCTTTAAAAAAAAGAATGACTCAGGTGTTTTTTCCTGATTATAAATGGATGTAGCATAACACATATAGAATAATGCCATTTTTGTGAGGAAACATCTAGACAAATGCCGTCTGTGGGTGTATTTTAACGTAAACGCCTACGAAGGGCCTGCAAGGACTCTCACTGGGTGGACGGACACGGGCTGGGAGTGTGGTCCCGGCAGCGCCCTTCTCTGTAGTGTTGTCCACTTCTGAAAGAAAAGATGCTCAGGTCTCACTTATATAATTAAAAGATAATTTTAAAAAGTAGTACATGTTCATTTTTTTTAATTGGAAAGCATTTTCAAGTCAAAATCTCCCCTCCAGAGACAGCCACTCTCAGCTTTAGAGTGTTGTCCCCACACACACTTTTATTTTTTAGCCTGTATGTGAATGTGTTAAATCTGTCTGTCTATCTATCATCTATTTATCTATCTATCTATCATCTATTTATCTATCTATCTATCTATCTATCTATCATCTATCTATCTATCTATCTATCATCTATTTATCTATCTATCTATCTATCATCTCTCTGTCCTCCTACTTTTGCTCCATTGTATTTAATAATACACTGTTA